AACAGTAGTTTATAGTTTAATACATTACCATCGGGGTTCAAGCATAGTCTAAATGTTGTACTGGAGTACTGTATGCATGTGCAGTCGCCTACAGAACCCGCAGATCACCCTCAGCTCTTCACAGACACAAGCAGACGTTCACATCACAACACAGACATGTAGAGCAGATCAACTGGAGAGTGAATGACATCTCCCCAATACTCGAGCTGGACCCAGCATAGCCTAAACCTGCTTCAATATCACCCTTCATTAATGTAGAGCGCTGTCAGAGAGTCCCAGTGTGTGTGTGTGTGTGTGTGTGTGTGTGTGTGTAGTCCTGCGGTTTACCACAGATGTATAATATGTCAGAGCAGTAAACACCTGCAACCACACAGGCACTCACTCACTCACTCACTCACACACTCACACACACACACACACAATCGCGCGCACACTTACACACACTCAGAGCTGTTTATGAGCACAACACACTCACACATTCAGCACTAGGGGGACTGAAGGTCAATTCAGCTCCAGTTCAGGAGTCCCCCATCAGAAGCCTCCAGAAACTGAGCTCACCCAGCACACACTCCGCCTGGAGAGAGTTCAGAGCACAGCTCAACACACACACTGCCGGCGCCCTGATTACAGACTGCATGAGGCGGACGTTATTCCTCTGTCCTCTATAGTGATGTAGATCCAATTCAAACAGTCCTGAAGAGAGAGAATAACACAGCGCGGTGCAGGAACTCATCCACCGTGGACAATAACATGGAGGATTACCCAATGGATAAAACCCAGACTCACACTGATAGCTCCTCCCTAAAGGACTGATAGCTCCTCCCTAAAGCACTGATAGCTCCTCCCTGAAAGACTGATAGCTCCTCCCTGAAAGACTGATAGCTCCTCCCTAAAGCACTGATAGCTCCTCCCTAAAAGACAGATAGCTCCTCCCTGAAAGACTGATAGCTCCTCCCTGAAAGACTGGTAGCTCCTCCCTAAAGCACTGATAGCTCCTCCCTAAAAGACAGATAGCTCCTCCCTAAAAGACAGATAGCTCCTCCCTGAAAGACTGGTAGCTCCTCCCTAAAGCACTGATAGCTCCTCCCTAAAAGACAGATAGCTCCTCCCTGAAAGACTGGTAGCTCCTCCCTAAAGCACTGATAGCTCCTCCCTGAAAGACTGATAGCTCCTCCCTGAAAGACTGATAGCTCCTCCCTAAAAGACAGATAGCTCCTCCCTAAAAGACAGATAGCTCCTCCCTGAAAGACTGATAGCTCCTCCCTGAAAGACTGATAGCTCCTCCCTGAAAGACTGATAGCTCCTCCCTAAAGCACTGATAGCTCCTCCCTAAAGCACTGATAGCTCCTCCCTAAAGAACTGATAGCTCCTCCCTGAAAGACTGATAGCTCCTCCCTAAAGCACTGATAGCTCCTCCCTAAAGAACTGATAGCTCCTCCCTGAAAGACTGATAGCTCCTCCCTAAAGCACTGATAGCTCCTCCCTGAAAGACAGATAGCTCCTCCCTAAAAGACAGATAGCTCCTCCCTAAAAGAGAGATAGCTCCTCCCTAAAAGACAGATAGCTCCTCCCTGAAAGATTGATAGCTCCTCCCTGAAAGACTGATAGCTCCTCCCTGAAAGACTGATAGCTCCTCCCTAAAGCACTGATAGCTCCTCCCTAAAGCACTGATAGCTCCTCCCTAAAGAACTGATAGCTCCTCCCTGAAAGACTGATAGCTCCTCCCTAAAGAACTGATAGCTCCTCCCTGAAAGACTGATAGCTCCTCCCTAAAGCACTGATAGCTCCTCCCTAAAAGACAGATAGCTCCACCCTGAAAAACTGAAAGCTCCTCCCTGAAAGACTGATAGCTCCTCCCTAAAGCACTGATAGCTCCTCCCTAAAAGACAGATAGCTCCACCCTGAAAGACTGATAGCTCCTCCCTAAAGCACTGATAGCTCCATTTTGTCCTGCCCCAAAACACAAATAGCTCCGCCCAAAATGTCTGATAGCACCCCCCCAAAACACTTACAGCCCCACCCTAAATGTCTGATAACCCCTCTAACAGTTTCAGTAATGGTAGTCAGGGTTGTGAGGTGTCCATGATGTTTATTATCAGCTTATGTTGTATGATCTGATCAGATGAGCAGGATATGATTATCCTATAATAATAATATTAATAATAATATGACAGAAACTCTCTTCATGTTGACTCATGATGTCTGAACACAACACTATAGTTGCTGCTTGTCTACAGAACGCTTCTGGATCTCAGAGTGTGTAGAATGGGGACACACACTCCGTGTTATCTGCAGTGTGTGTTGGCCTGCAGCCTCTTCAGCCTGTGCTGGTCTGCTGTTGTCCATATGCTGCGTCTGGAGCAGATAAAGAGGGCTGTGTGTGTGTGTGTGTGTGTGTGTGTGTGTGTGTGTGTGCTCAGAGCACTGCATATGCATTTATTGCATTCCCTATTTGCTCCATTAAAGAAAAGCTCAGGCTAATCAAGACTCCAGGAAGAGGAATAAAACAGTGATAACAGCAGACACACTGCACATAATGCGCTCTTCATTCGTTCATTCGATTGTTAGTTAGTTAGTTAGTTAGTTAGTTAGTTAGCTCTATCTGTCCCCGTAAGAAGATTTCATTTGCAGTATACACACACACACACACAGACACACACACACACAGACATCTGACCTTTCACCTTTGGCATTTGTATAAATAAATCATTTAAAACAGACGTGCATGGCACCCTCCTCTAAATAAATATCCAGTCTGCTACTGGCAGAGGAGGAGTTTAAAAGCGTAATCACCTGAGCTGTAAAGCAGAGGTGTGTCCTATTCCTCACGCACCTGTGAGCACAGCGTTGATGACCTGATGGTGACCGCTGACAGAAGTATGATGAAGGATGCCCCTCATCATTGACCATCAGGATATCCCTATTTACTGCTCTTCCTTTCTATACACTACCACTGCTCTAATGTACAGTAGTGTAATGTGTGTGTGTTTATATAGCGCTGTACACCCACAGCGCCTCACCATCATGAGGGGGTCTCTCCACTCCTCCAGCAGTGTGCAGCTCCAGCTGATGACCAGCCTCATCTGATTGGTCAGATTTACATAAACAACACACAAACACTGAGCACACAACACTGACTGGATTCACTGCACTTCTCTGAGATCCCGTCATCATCACATCAGTCCACATTCAGTCAATCTCCTGCAGCTCACTCCCTTACTAATCAGGGGTCACCACTGCGGAATGAACCGACAACTATTCCAGCATTTGTTTTACACAGCAAATACCCTTCTGGCCACAACCCAGTACTGGGAAACACCCATTCACACTCATACACTACAGCCTGTGTAGTTGATCAGTTCCCCTATAGCGCATGTGTTTGGACTGGAGCACCCGGAGGAAACCCACGCCAACACAGGGAGAACATGCACACCTGAACCAGTCAGCTGACAGACACCACACCACCAGCTATTGCTATATTCTTATTATAGTCTTTGTTTTATCAGGAAATAAGCAGAGTCCACATGGGTTTACCATTAATAACCATCAATACACACAGAACATCACAATTATACCTGCTCAGATCATCTACAGGCCAACATTGAGTATGTGTGTGTGCTCTGAATCCACTTCTGTGCTTCATCTCCACTATACTGAGAGCTGATGACTGTAGCAGGGATAACACTCAGAGTGTGGCTCTGCTGTTCACAGTAAACACAGCAGTGTCAGAGGTACAGGTGAGTTACTGCATTCAACATCAGCTGAACATGAGAGAAAGCTCAACTGAATTAACATCATTTAATAAGATGATAGTTATAACCTGTTGATTTGATGGAGTTATTCTGCATTAGCTGATGGATTACCCTCTGCTGTGATTAATCAACACGTCTGTAGTCGACTTTAGCTCAGCTCATTAATGTTAACAGATGAACCTCACTGAGTGCACAGACCCGTCCATAACCACAGCATATTCAGATTAACCACACCCTGAACATGATATATGAATATATGAATCTGTCCGACTCACAATACATGAGGAATACACACAGAAGAGCCAGTACACACACACACACACACACACACACACCTACAAAATACAGAATCACATCCATATGAACGGTCACAGTGCCAAGATGAGGCATAAACAGACACATCATCATCATCATCATCATCATCATCATCTTCATCATCCTCCTGAATGAGTAGAGCAGACTTAATAAACCCGAGTGCATCCTGTGAGCACACACTGATGGTTAAAACAGCCGGTTATCACCTACAGATGTCTGCAGAAAGAGCATTAAGATCATTTAAAGGCGCTGCCATCGAACACTTGTGTCATTTACATACGATTTGCATACAATAAACTGAAGTGATGTGTGTGTGTGTCTATTTACTAACCATTATACAGGCTACTGTAAACACTAACCGCTGATTAAACGCCGTTTACACACAGATCTCAGTATTTCCTCCACATGTTCTCCGTGTTGTAACAGCACTGCAGACATGACACCCTGCAGAAAGCTGAGCACTGCTGCTCTAAAGGGGCAGTTCACCCCAAATATGAGCATTCGGTCCTCATTGACTCACTCTGACAGGTGTTATACACCTCTATGAGCGTCTTTCTGCTGATGAGCACTAAAGAAGATGTTCTGAAAAATGTTGAAAGCATTGTTTTCACGACTATGGAAGTCAATGGTTACCGGTTTTCAACATTCTTCAAAATATCTTCTTTAGTGTCCAACAGGAGAAAGACACTCATACAGTGAGCAAATGTTGATTTATGTGTGAACTGACCCTTAAAGACAATCTACAACACGAGTTATGGCTATCATGACTCAAACATCCATCAGTCAAACACGTATAGGTGTAGTTCAGCGCCACACATCTACTGCTGACACTGTATAAAGATAGACAAGTGTTCAGTAGATGAGTAATCTCCTCTCCTCTGTCAGCATCATCACATCTATCAAGCCAATATAATGACCTAAACTCGACCTTACCAGATCATCCGTGTGTCCTCCGGCTGCGGGGTGAGTGTAATCCACATGTGGAGGTGATGGTGAGGTTAATCCGCGTGTGTGAAATAATCCACGAGACTGAGTCCTGCTCATCTCCATAGAGCGCAGTCGGCATCATCCTCATGTGATATCCAGAGAGTGCTGAAGCACGTGTATCCCATAATATCCATCTGGATACCCGCACACACGCGCGCGCGCTGCACTACACTGAGCGACTCCTCCGCTGCTCTGAGTGTAATGTGTCAGCAGTAGTGGAGCGCGCGCGCACACACCCACAGCAGACTCTCACGCACACGATCGTCACATGACACACTCCCCACAGCACTGCATCATGGGACATGTAGTCTAGAAGCACTCTTTACTCTTCTGCAGGGGCTTTATTATCCGGATAAACACACACCTTCACTGTGGTGAGAGTCGAGTGCTGCTGACTACTGAGTGAAATACTGCACACTGATGAGGGAACACAAACTTTCACTGAATGATCAAGATCAGCTTTTTTATTTATTTTAAATGTTTATTATTTTACACATATTTATGATGAATATATATATATAATTAATATTAACTGTAAATATATAAATAATTATATAAATATACACACACACACACACATATACACACACACACACACACACATATATATATATATATATATATATATATATATATATATATATATATATATATAATATTATATTTATAAATATAAAAATATATATAAATATGTATTATATTATATATTATTTTATATTTTCTGCTTGTGTCAGGAGAAACTCTCTCATGATGTGTGAACACAACACTATACTCTACTCTAGTGTAGAGGATGATCTGCTGGAGTGAAGAGTGTGTGGTGATCTGCACTAGAAATGGGCAGCATTATTAATGTAACGTGTGTATTTTGTGATCAGAATATAAGATGTAATCATTTTAAAGAGGTCTGATTAGGATTAACTTGCCCAATGCACTTTAACAGGTGATCATGCGCTGAGTCTGTTTCTGTATTTCCTCAGGTGTGTGTGTGTATGCGTGTGTGTGTGTGTGTGTGTGTGTGTGTGTGTGTGTGTGTGTGTGTGTGTGTGTGTGTGTGTGTGTGTGTGTTAATGACAGCATCGCGTGTGAGCAGTAGAGTTTGAGTAAGATAAGATCTGCAGTCGTCACAGGACACAGAAGGTGAATCACACTTTCATTAATGCTCACACACACACACACACACACACACACACACACCTGAGAAAACCTGGACTGGATCTCATAATGATATCAGCTGAACTGGCTCTTTCTCTCACACTGCAGACACTGCTGTCTCACTCAGAGAAGAGCACAAACACTGAGCAGAGAATTCATATTAAACAACTATTACAATCTCCCAACAAACAAACAAATAACCTGTGCTTCAGGGAGGAGCTATCAGTGCTTCAGGGAGGAGCTATCAGTGCTTCAGGGAGGAGCTATCAGTGCTTCAGGGAGGAGCTATCAGTGCTTCAGGGAGGAGCTATCAGTGCTTCAGGGAGGAGCTATCAGTGCTTCAGGGAGGAGCTATCAGTGCTTCAGGGAGGAGCTATCAGTGCTTCAGGGAGGAGCTATCAGTGCTTCAGGGAGGAGCTATCAGTGCTTCAGGGAGGAGCTATCAGTGCTTCAGGGAGGAGCTATCAGTGCTTCAGGGAGGAGCTATCAGTGCTTCAGGGAGGAGCTATCAGTGCTTTAGGGAGGAACTATCAGTGCTTCAGGGAGGAGCTATCAGTTATTTAGGGAGGAGCTATCAGTGCTTTAGGGAGGAGCTATCAGTGCTTTAGGGAGGAGCTATCAGTCATTTAGGGAGGAGCTATCAGTTATTTAGGGAGGAGCTATCAGTGCTTTAGGGAGGAGCTATCAGTGCTTTAGGGAGGAGCTCTCAGTGCTTTAGGGAGGAGCTATCAGTGTTTTAGGGAGGAGCTATCAGTTATTTAGGGAGGAGCTATCAGTGCTTTAGGGAGGAGCTATCAGTGCTTTAGGGAGGAGCTATCAGTTATTTAGGGAGGAGCTATCAGTTATTTAGGGAGGAGCTATCAGTTATTTAGGGTGGAGCTATCAGTCCTTTAGTTTGATTTGATGCAGCGCTGCACTGATCGATCAAATCTGTCTTAAAGCAGTGCATGCCGTCAGAAAATTTGTGCGCAGACATAAAGTGACTGTCACATGTAGCTTTATAGTACTGCGACAGCTGATTCAGCCGGTGCAGCATCTGAAGAGTGACTGCAGGAGCTGCAATGACGACACCAATATTATATGACTGGCTGAGTTCACCGCATGACAGTAACCCCGTGTGTTTCAGGTTAGGGTTAGAATAATCTAGTTTTTGCTTTCGACGTCAGATTATTCAGCTTCCTCCACTGTCAGGTGATTGTGTCAGGAGAAACTCTCTCATGATGTCTGAACACAACACTATACTCTACTCTAGTCTAGAGGATGAGCTGCTGGAGTTTCAGATATCTGGACTACAGACGAGACTCTGAGGGTGTGTTTGAGAGATGAGCCGTTCCCTGTTCCAGCTCAATGTTCAGTGTTTCCAGCTCAGTATCAGCAGTACCTGATCCACACACACACACACACACACACACACACACACACACACACACACACACACACACACACTGAAGATCGGCTGCAGGTTTGCGTGACTAGCGCTCTGAACTCAAACACAAAGACATTGTTTTCCGTCAAACCCCCTGTATGCTAACTCGACCACATTCCTCTCCTGCATTCCTCACACACACTTTTCCTTTTCCCTTCTGCTTTTCTCAAAAGGAGAGCGCTACACATCATGTGCTCAGTAGAACAAAACCCTAACAGTTACTACAACAAACATCAGAACTTTATGGTAAAAATACAGTAGAAACTGTAAAGGGGATTCTAGTACAGTCAACAGTATGGCTGATATTGTTGTATATTAACCACACACACACACACACACACACACACACACACATATATATACAGCTGAAGTCAGAGTTATTCACCCCCTGATTATTTCCCCAGTTTCTGTGTATCAGAGAGCAGATTTCTCCAGCACATCTCTGATCATAACAGTGTTCATAACTCATCTCTAATAGCTGATGTGTTTCCTCTTCTCCATGATGACAGCACATAATATTATACTAGATCTTCTTCAAGACACTAGTGTTCAGCTTACAGTGACATGTAAAGGCTTCACTAGGGTAATCAGGGTAAAGTTAGGGTAATTAGGCAAGTCATTGTATAACAGTGGTTTGTTCTGGAGACAATCCAACACTAATATTGCTGAAGGGGTGAATAATATTGAGCTTAACATGACTTTAACGCTATTAAACACTGCTGTTATTCTAGCACAAATAAAACACATATTATCAGACACACTGTGAACATTTCCTGAATCTGTTCAACATCATCTGGGCGATACTTATAAAAGAAAAAGCTATTCTAAAGGGGGTGAATAATTCTGACTTCAGCTGTTTATATGTATATGAAGGACATTTATTGTTAAGCAGGTTAGAGATTGTTACAGATATTATTGTACAGTTTTTTACAGTTAAAAAAATGGTATTTACCATAAAATAAATGTAAAATGTTTGCAGTAAACTACCTTATTTTATTAGCATAGTGTTAATTATAATTCTTAAGGAATGAAATACGGTAGTTTACCATAAAATTTAGTCATTCAGTCATTAATTTTGGCTTAGTCTCTTATTCATCAGGGCTCACTACTGCGGAATGAACCACTAACTTATTCCAGCATATGTTTCACACAGCGGATGCCCTTCCAGCTGCAACCCAGTACCGGGAAACACTCATTCACACACACACACACACACACACTCACACACTAAGGTCAGTGTAGTTGATCAGTTCCCCTATAGCGCATGTGTTTGGACTGTGGGGGAAACCGGAGCACCCGGAGGAAACCCACACCAACACGGAGAGAACATGCAAACTCCACACAGAAACACCAACTGACCCAGCCGAGACTCAAACCAGAGACCTGAGTGCTGTGAGGCCACCACTAAGAAACTGTGCTGCCCAAAGTTGTAGATGAAGTTGAAGAGCATGGGTCTGGGGGGTTGGGGTGTGGTAGTGTCACGAACAAAATTGAAGAGGGAGTGGGGGCACGAGGGGCATGGGGTCACAGATGAAAGCGAAGAGCCAGGGTGATGGGGAGAGCAAAACTCAGGAGCCTGGGTGGGGGTTAGGACGAAAATGAAGAGTGAGGGGGGGTAGAAGGGGGGTGACGTCACAAATGAAAGTGAATAGTGTTGGTGGAGGGGGGGCAGAAGGGGGGTGATGTTGTAGATGAAAGTGAAGAGTGTGGGAGGTGGGAGAGGGCAAAAGAAAAGACCGTTGGGGGGGGGTGGGGGGGGGGTGGGGGTTAATGTCGAGGACGAAACTGAAGAGTGAGGTGGGAGGGACCAGAAGGGGGGGGGTGCGTCAGACAAAAGTAAAGAGTGACGGTGGAGGGGGGGGGAGGCAGCAGAAGGACGGTGATGTCGCAGACCAAACTGAAGAGCGTTGTTGGGGCGGAGGTCATCACGGATGCTCCCCTGACTGCTGCTGCTCTAGCTCGCCTCTGTGGACGTGCCGGCCCTGGTCGTGTCCCACTGTGTCTCCTAATGACAGATGTCTCGTCTCTGAGAGGGAGCTCAGCTCTCTGCTGGCCAGGTGACATGTATGATCATGTGTACAGTGTGGCTGTGATCTCCACAACTTTACCTTACAGATGAACCATAACACACGAGTGTGTATCTCACAGTAGACTGGTGTTTCAGTACTGTACTAATATACACGTGTGGACCGTCTGTGTGTGTGTGTGTGTGTGTGTGTGTGTGTTTAATCTGTCTACAAACATCAGTTCATGTCCAGACTGAACATGCAGGAGCAGCATGCTAATGAGACTCATTTAAATATTCAGTTAAAATGTAAATAACTGAAGTCAAACTGGTGCAAATAACTAAATAAGAGCACTTTCTCTGTGTGTGATGGGGTGTGTGTGTGCGCATGCGTGCGTGTGTGTGTGTGCAGGTTTGGCAGTGTGGCTGTGCGTGACTAGCAGAGATACACCTGTCTGCTGCTCAGGTGAGGGAGGGAACGAGAGCACGCAGAGGCCTGCATACTGAACAATGACTGCTATTGTGACGAGATCTGACTGCTCACACACACTCCATCACACACACACACGCTCACGCACACACAGCTGCTCA